ACCCTTCAGATCAGTGCGCCCCAGCGTTCGTCCGCTATCTTGCAAACACTTCATAAATGCAGACTTTGTCAGTACCCGCGCACCTTTCGGGTGACGCCAAGTGAAGAGCGCTGCGTGCGGGTCTGGTGTATTGACGCTAAAGTGGTTTAATAAGGCAGCATGGGGGTCGGCGTCTCCGGATTGTGTCGCCCAATAAACATCAGCGCTGTGTTGCGCAGTCTTAGTTTGCGGCAGGTGAAAAACGGTGACATGTAGTCCGTTGCGGTCGGTTTCCTTGCGGATGTCGCAAACCCTCACGTGACGAAGCGGGTTGAATGCTGATAGGGACTCGACAGTGAATTCGCCGCTGCGTGCGAGGGACCAAAACAAGGTCGTGAGGCAGGCATACACGGCAGCATGCAGGGGCTGTGAGAGGTCAAGGACAGACCACAGCTGGATGAGCAGGTTGACTGTGAAAGCAGAGCGTTTGGAACATGTGGACTTAGGCGGTGCGAGACGTTTAGCACCTTCAAGCGCAAGTGAAATTTGAGCCTGGTCGACGAGCCAGGGTAGTCCATGCAACAAGTGCCAGGCGCGTATTCCGAAGAAATAATTCTCCAATGTACGTCCTGAGTATAAACTGGCACAACTGGCGACAAATGCTAATAACACTATGGAAGATGCAGGGCAGCGCTGCGGTTCTGGGATGTTCCGTGAGTCGCAAAACACGTGAAAAACTAATAGGCCTGAGCCGTAGCATTCGCGGGTGCTAACAGCGTGCAAATGGCTGAGCACTGTGAAGATATGATCAATGTCGCTGTCTGAGATGGGCACGATTGACCCATCGTGCCCGTCACGAGGTCGAGAGGTTAGAGGCATCCAAAGTCAGAGCCGGTCACGAGCGAGACAGTGAGGATGTAAGGTAGAGTGACGTGGAGTGAGAGCAGATGGATAAGCGTGGGGAGTGCCAGCAGTGTGAGCGGCGACAAGCGGTGAATGGTTTTCGAATCTGGAGCGCGCATGTCCGATCCCTCCTGTGATGTTGGGTGGGTTTGCGTCCCTATGCTCGGTCCGAGCCCTCGTCAGCCACGGCGCAATGACGAGGGTGTGGGCACTCTGGTGTTCATGTGGCAGGGCATGTGGACTTGATGGCATCAACAATGAAGGGACGAATGGCTGCGGGTATGGTGAGGGGGGGAGAACAAGCCTGGTGGACGGGAACACGCCCTGGGAGGGACCGTCGGCGGGATTTGCACTGCTCTCAACATACTGCAGATGAAAAGAGATGTGCCCATTGAGCTTGCTGAGCCGTTCATGGATCCTGCAAAAGGAGCTGTTGGTCTCCCAGTTTCGACATCTGCCGTTCTGCCAGGCACTGACGACCCCTTGGTTGTCGCAGAACAGACAGAAATGTCGTTCGTCGTCGTCTGTGAGTGAGTCAAGGATGGCAATAACGAGGAGTTCGAACCCGATACACTCTGCCCACCCGATGTCGCGTTGGCCGCCGCATGTCCGCCACCCAGGGCAGAGCATCCAAGCCCGCCAATACCCATGGATAACAATTGCGATGCTGAAGGACGTGCTGGCGTCAGAGAAGGCGTCGAGATGGTGGAAGTGGGATGGCCAGTGGATCGAACGTCCAAGGAAAAGAGAGCCGAGGGTGGTGTACCACCAGTCGAGGTCATCGCGCAAGTGTTTAACGTCGTGGTGGGGCACGAAAGGACGATTGGAGCAGACACCCAACATGGTCTCCAGTGAGGTGAGGTAAGCGCATCCTGCTGGTATGACCAGACTCACATGGAGTAGCTTACCGTATAGCTGCTGGACTTCCTCCAAAACATGTGTTTTCCTCGAGCGCCAGGTCGAAATTGCATCTTGGTATTTAGCTTTCTTGCTGGTGGGAATTTGGACTGTGAGGTCCACGATGCTCCACAAGAAACCGAGGTATAGCACAATGAAGGCGAAGGCAACGTCTTTGCTGGGCTCCCATGGGGTACCCAGCGCCTCGGATTCACTGTTGATGTCCTGAAAGGCGTAAGCGAAATCACAATCAACAGATGACCGCGGTGAGGAGTGAGAGAGATCGCGCACGAGGAAGGTGTAGTCCTCCCCATGCTCGTCGTATGAGTCATCTTCAAAACTGCTCCCTTTATACCAGATCCGCCCTCCGCTACGCTGCCTCCCTCTCTGCGTGACGATGCCATGTAGCTTTCGACGTTCATTGTTGTAACGCTCGAGATGGCGTCGTCTGATGCGAAAGAACAAGTGGTTGTCGACCCATTTGAGAATGGGCCCGATTCCGGCTGCGCGCAACAAATCAAGTCCAGCATCAGCAACATGTCCATAGACCCCCGCCGAGGGTCCCATACCGAAGGATATGCAAGTGTCCACGCAGAGTGAGCCGTTCGGCAATAAAACCACAGCGGCTGGCCATTGAGACGAGTGGAGAGGTACAGTGCGATAGGCTTCAGCGACGTCGCGAGTGGCCCCTTGAGATCCAGGTGGCAAGGAGCGTATGACCGCACAAACAGTGTCAAATGTTCCCCAAGTGCAAGGGAAGTCATCTGAGCACGTAGATGCATTGATGGAACAGCTAGGGTATAAGACAGAAGGCGACAAAGGGAAAGAGAAATTCTGGATGATGCGAAACTTCCCAGGTTTCCCTGATTTTGGGATAATGGACAGAGGCGAAGACTGAAAATGACTGATACAATTATGTAGTTCAACTGCCGAGAAAGGACCAATGTAGTGTTCTGTGCTAAGTTCTTGTTCCAAAATTTTGTCAAACACGTGTCCGAAGGTAACAAGTGAGGCACTATTTGGTGGGTTCTGAGTTCTGAGCCGAGGGGGGATGTTGAGATTAAAACCGGTACATAAAGACTCACATAAAGTAGGGTATCTGGAAGACAGATTGTGACTACATAAGGCGCGTTCCCAAACGTCAAACCGGTAAGGTGTGAGTGGGTGAAGTCGTCTGTGCTTGAGAACACTGTTGAGCTCCGTGTGAGGTGCCAAGGCACCCAGAACATAAGTGTCGATCGTCGTGAGACCGACTGGAGCACCCTTTCCCGCGTTGCCAGTCGACACACAGAGGTTGGTTTGATTTGCGCACAAGAAGCTGGCGGTCGACTCGTGTTGTGAGGGTGGTGCGAGAGTTGTCCCACAGACGATCTGCTGTGCACTTGATGAAGTTGTGTGTGGTCCTCCCCAGGCAGACGGCGCACACAGCGGGGGAGCGAGAGCTGGGTGCGCCATCCTGAAAACCCAAATGTTGACTGCGGGAGTTGTTGCCTTTGGTGGTGGAAGTGTGTTTCTGGAATTTGGGTGATGCAGATCGTGGTCTGTGAGTGGGTGACAGAGAGCATTTTGACTTCCTAGAGCGTGAGCGTCCGGTCGCCTCGGTGGATCCGGAGTGCTGAGCAGAGTCCTGTGCAATCCAAAGTCCGAGAGCAACATAGAGAGCAACACAAAGGCAGAAGACAACGCAGAGGCAGAAGGCAATGCAAAGCCATAAGGCAATGCAAAGGTAAACGCGAGGCATCATGTGAAGGCAAACGCAAGGCGCAGCGAAGATGCGAGGGTAAACGCAAATGCATGTGGTAACGCAAAGGCAAGGATAGCGCAATACGTGATGCATATGATAAGGCAGTAGCGCAAACGCAAGGCGGTGGTGGATCGTGCCGAGTGACAAATGGGTAAATAAGATCGTAAAATACAACAGAATAGAAGAGTTCATTAGAGGTGATGTTGTGTGGTTAACAAATGGGAGACTCACACTGCGGGTGTCAAGAAGGTCGCACAGACGCATCTGGCGAAAGACGCGATCAAATGTGCGAAGCAACGCAGTTTTGTCGAGAATGGAGATATCCCAAGCACCCTTGGCCAGAGGGATGGCGTTGTGCCAGGCCCTCCGTTGTTCTTCTTGGTAGATGAGGATGGCGCGTTGAGCGATGGTGTCAGGAGAGTTCCAGTAACGATGTAGGACTATCGACCCCCAGAAATTGGCTAACATGGTGACCCGTTGGGCAGGCCAGTCATATTCTTCCATTGCTTGGATAATGCGAGGTACCGCTTGAGCGAACTCCACGGTAGAAAGGCTGCAGTCAGCGACGACCCTCGAGGAAGGTTTAGTCATACCAGCGCTAACCCAGACCGTAGAGCCATCATCTCCAGTAGTGGGCACCATTCCCTCATCATCTCTAGTCCTATAATTCGCGTGGGCATCTGCCACACCCGCATTCGTCCAGTAGTAAAGTTCAATGTAATGACCTTTGTCAATTTTTCGTAAAGCGAAATCAGATACCATAATTTCATCGTCCGTGGAGTCAGGCCATGGGCGTAGAGGGATGATGAGGTGTTTGGCCCAGTTCTTCTTCCTTTCGTCAGTTTTAGCGGCTTCTTCGTCCATGCGAAGAGTCTCCCGAAGACGTTCGCTTTCCTCTTCGGCTAAGCGTTGTTGTTCGAGAGCGAGACGAGTGTCTTCTGCAAGTTGGAGTTGCCATTGAGCGCGGAGGGCATCATTGGTTGTTGTCCAAACGGTGCGTAGCAGATCTGCCGCTTGAGCTTCGGTGGTGGTAGGCGAGGTAAGGCTAAGGCGACTGGCACTATAGGCGCCGGTCATAAAATCTGGACAGATGAGTAAACTTGGGTCAGAATGAAGTCTGTCCATAGGTCGGATATGTGCGAAACAAAGAGAATGAAATGATCGATATTGGCTGGTTTCGTTCTGGCTTGCGACGAGTCTTTTATTTTAGAGAAGTAAGATGTAAGGCGTGATTTCGAGCTGTTGAAATGCGGCTGATGGTGGTAAGAAGAAAGGAAGGCGTCAGTTAGGTTTGCTCGCGGCACCCGTAGACTTAATTCGTATCACGTGCTCGTGCCTCGTACTTTATAGAAGTCCAACATAACCAGCTTTATATGCCCTATTGGAACTCGAGACTTTGAGAGCTACGTGAGGAGACATCAACGAGACTGGTAATTTACTAATGCTAATTTACCACACAATATTTTTAATGCAAAATGACACGGCACAATATAGTTTGAACAGGTATACTACGCCGAGTCTCGGTGGCTACGTGACGGCTCGGAAGGAGGGATGTCACAACATTTTCATGGATTGCTCCTATTACACTTAGTTTGCGAGTATCAATGGATATATATCTATAACTCATGTTGCCCACAGTATAAAAGCTAATATCTGGCGGGAACAAAATCAAGTCGTTCTATAGTTCCCAAGGCTACAATATCAAGGACTCATCAGTTCACTGATGAATCTGTTTGCTGTTTTGCGTCTGAAAACCGATCTTTTGTGCACTCGAGCAGCTCCATTTTAGTTGGTGGTAGCATCAGTGAACCGGGTTTTGGCAAAGCCGACACGAGAACGGGAGGCATCGAACACAGCCAAGAAGCGCTCGATGAATGGGTAGCCATTAACAAAGTCAAAACCTTCGCCACTGGTCGTACCAATGTCGTTAACGACGAGATAGATGGCGTTGCTACTACCACCAATGTAGGCGTTGAGCACACGAGGCCAGATTTGGGCGTTAGGTGTGAGCGAAAAGGTTTCCTGTGCAAATCGTAAAACAGGGGATGTAAAGGCTGACAGAAATGGCGTACGCTGCCAATATGGAAATCCAGGTTCTCGAGGGCTGCGTACTGGGCAGAGGAAATGAGGAGAAGACCAGTCGCTGCATCCGGAGTACCACCGGTTGCAGACTGGTAGTTTTCGTAGGCATCTATCAAACGTTGATTGGACCATGATTACTCTCTGCAATATAGACACATACCGGTGGCAATGTGAATAAAGGTGGTTCCAACATCGACGATACCCGCAGTGGAGGACATGATCAACGTGGAGCCGTAGGTGATGCTCTGGTCGATACCCCAATAGCCCGATGCAGGATTGATGGTAGTGATAGGACTGAAAGAAAACGACCGCTATCAGCCTGGATTGATCTAGGAGTTGAGGTAGCTTACGTGTACGTAATGGGGCCAGCGTGCTTGTTTTTGACAGTTCCACCGAAGGTGATCTCTCCATTGACGTTTGCCTGCGCTGAGGTGATGGGCTCGAAAGAGATACTGAAAACCTCGCGATGAATTGTGCCTTGGCTATGCAGGTTGTCAGCGACAGTCGGGATCGTCGTTCCACTTTCAGCTGTCAGGGAACCCTTTGTCAAGCCTACAGGCCCAAGGCCAAGGATACCGTCAGCGTTGCCCCAACCGCTCGACACATCAGTAGCGACACCAATTGACTGTTTGGCGATGACGAGTCCATTACCGAGATCAACGGTGTCGATGTACTCAGTTCCTATAGATAATCATAGGTATTTCAACAACTCGTGATATCTTTGGATGTCCTACCAGAGAAGTAGCCAGTACCGTAGACGTATGTCATATGCTGGCCTGTGCTGGTGCTGGTGCTGGTGCTCACGTACGGAGTTTTAGCGCCAACCCATGTGATCGAGCTACCGGTGTCGACAATTAAAAAGTCTTTAATGATACATCAGCAGCCGCATGTTTTGATCCGTGCTGAACTTACAAGTTGTGGCGGGATTGCCAATGCCAACTGCGATGTAATATCCATTACCAACGTTGGCCGCAGGAGTGCCATGGCCGTCGTGCTTCAAGGATTGATCTTTAAAGGCAGCCAAGCGAGCTTTATCCTGCTGCAAGAGGTTAATAGTACCATTAGAGACATTTAGCCTCCTGGCTATAGGGAGGGTGATGGGGGAATTGTTAACTTCAACGAACGATCCTATGATTGACAGAGCTAGGGAGATGATTGTCAACAAGGATGCAGCGGAGAACATGGCTGACTGGAAAGCATCATGACACTCAGCGGTCTATTATATATGCGCTGGCGAACGCAAATATTGGGCATCTTGGCCAGTGGCCACGTATGAGAATTTGAAACATCCTCTCTCAAAGTGATGGCGGTCTGAGTGCAAGGAAATATTGAGCTTCCTGATAAAACAACGGTGAGAAGACGTTGGTTTTTAATACAAAAATTTGCAATTCGCCTGTTTACCCATGGTCCATTAGTTCATTGACTTACCCCACGTAGAGATGCTAATAAGAATACAGAAACGTTGGTGTCAGGTTGGTGTAGCAAGAGTTGCAGTCGACCCTCGTTGTCCTAGGCTTTGATGCTGTGTGAGGCCATTTGCTTGCAACTCAGCTCGAAAGAATGATCAAGACGAAGCAGTGATGAAGTTAATAAGGGCTAATACATGTCTTTTCCCCGACCAGCACTCCATTTTGAGCTGGGATTCATAATTCGGGCATAGCGGATAACTCCTTGTTGTAACGTAACGGTCACATCAGAAACTCACGCTCGTCGCGACGCGAGTCGTCGTTGACGGCGAACTTGGTTTGGACCATATCTCTCCCTTTTTTTCACAGCACTTACTTGTCTTACGCATGCTGGACACCTCACAAAGCCATATATTTTGGATTTCGCGTAAATCACTGACGAAATTTGAAGTTATGTACCAATATTAATATTATGTCAGTTTAAATTTCAAAATCCTTCGACTAACACTATCTTAACCCTGCTGTGTGTCTTATCCAGCCTGAGCGCCCTCCCATGGGCCACATCACGCCGTTATCAAACAAGCCAGTAATAGGTATGCCTATAAGGTTTTTAAAAAAAAATCTATTTGACATTCATAACTACAACTAGGCATAATTTGAGCCTACAGACAAAGTGTCTTGTCTTCTGAGCCTGTAACCATCCGTTATTTATCCCATCTTTGCTGTTAGCATTAGGCGCAGCTGAGGTGCGTATATCCCTATCATGATCTCTTATGTATCTACATGACTCACGAGCATTTTTGGCTCATATCAACTTTGCTTGCGTCCGTTTATAGTCGTCCTTTCGCGTTTTCATCCGTTCGCCCTCGTCTTTTTGCGCTCGTCCTTTTGAGCTCGTATCTTCATATGTTCCTACTGCCACTTACTTGTATATCTGCATACATTTGCAATAGACACGTTTACACTCATTCATGCTCCATTCATACTCATCTGTGCAAGTCTTTTGCAGGTACGTGTTTTATTTATTTTAATTCTATCATCTTGTACACAATACTCATGGGTAATCTTGCCACGTGTACTAGTCCGAGCTTGTTGTACCCACAAAAAATCCATGCCCGTCAGAGCGGGTACGGGTTTTTGCCAAGTACAGGTACGTGGTCCGCCTGCATTGCACACATAACGTTGATTAACACCATATATCACCGTTGAAAGTTGGCCTCCTCCGAACTGTATCTCAGACACGTCGGACACTGTTGTATAAATCCGCGATCGTCCTTCACTCGCTCGTAGGTTGAAAAGAATCCTAGATACTAGAACACTGTGGATGACGACTTGCGGACTGGTGATGTGATACATGATACGATCGCCCAAGTTGATCTACTCACGAGTCTGTGATCGAAACCCATGTGATCTGTAATAAACGATAAGCGCACGGATAGCTGGTCAGGTGTACTGCAACGCACCGGAGTAACTATGGTCAAATTATGCTGAACGAAGACACGACTTGATAGTAGGAAGTCAGCACGCAACCAGCTTGGGCGAAAGTAATCATCTTACTTATAATGCACGTCATATATTTCGCTGAGTCGTTAAAACACGTTCTTTGGAGTTGTCCGACGGCATTGTTGTACTTTCTGAATCTGATGTACAACATCAAGCAGAGGAGGACTGATTCATGCATGAGTACGATTTTTTTTTTGAAAGACAAGACGCCTGACCCAGTTCATAGTAACAGAGCGGCGTACCCGAAGACGTTATTCCTGCCGCCCAGGAAAAGACAATCGCTCGGATCTGCTGTCCACACTGCATGAGCGATTGTCACGAAAATCGAATATCGCATCACAAACGTATATTAATTTAGGTGTGTTTTTGGAATTAAAGACAAGGAGAGTATCCGATATGATGTAAAAGACAACGAAACAAACCTGGTATTGGTTCAGCATTGAGCCTTTTACGGTGAAAGGTGAATGAAAAACGTACGACAGGAAACACCAAGAGGAATGTCAGCAGACGCTTACTGTTCCAGGAAGCGTAAATCCTCGTGATTAGCAAACCTAGAGGGAAAAAATGACAATATCAGGAGCACGTTTAAGACATGACATACCTTCTGCGGCTAGAATACAGATGATGCGCAACACTACATAAGGGTTGGATGAGAAAAGCAATGCACCGTAGGCTGCGCACGCTAACCGTTGGACGCCTGCCCAGATCTACAGGGTTGCTATGAATACCAGGGTGTTGAAGGGGTGTAATCACTCACACTTTCACCAGGATAGTATTGCGTTCGAAGCGCACCTCTCCATCGGCCATAAGAAATTGTTCGAGTTAGAAACACGTGTAGCTCACCAATGAATGTCATACCAATGGCGAAAAATGGTAAGTATCGTGATACAGTGAATATAAATCGCAGAAAAGTCCATCTTCGGTGTCAGACCCACTGTGACTTTGGGACAGTCCTTGAATGATTCGCTCATCAGCGCAATCCACGCACTTCTGCCTCCGGGGTAATGAAATAGTCAAAAATCTAAGTAAGGACATCAGCATTACATGCCCCCGACTTCAATTTGCAAATGCACTCACTAAAACAGTCCGACTGGGAATTTCAATTAGCCACTGTATTCGTTCAAGTATCAAATAAAATCTGTACCGTTGACATACTGGGCGGATTAAGAGTTGATCAGACTTTTTTGGGGCTCAACTTGTCGCGCACCTTGGATGCCTGAAGGCCAGCTACAAATCAGTAGGTTGACTCATCATGCATCAAGTTTGTGGAAAACACATCAAGGCTTCTCGTACGTTACGCGTACCATTTAAGTGACGGCTGTGTTACAATGTTTACAGGCCCATCAGCTAAGATCCGAGTGTTGTAACGCGGATCGACACCGATAGGACAGGATTACAAGTGCGACGTGACATGAGTGACAAGGCTGTGACTATGAGACGCCACCTTCAGTGGCTTAGTACCTGCAACTTGCACGCAAGCAAGGTGGACCTAGTCTTGACCTCAAATACCTTATTCTGTGGGAAGGGTATGGCTAACGTCGGTAATGGATACTTCATATCAGTTGGCAGCTCCGCTACAAACTGCAAGTTCAACACTGAAAATTTTTGCCTTTTAAAAGACAAAATTATATTCAAACATCCAAATCGTCGAGCAGTATGAACATTTGTCCAAAAACAACTGTATCGATTGGCTCCGAACTGAGCATTGCACCATCAACTAGGATACCCAAACGAAAGCAGAAGCATGACTCACTGTCGCGACATGTCACTGGCTTGGGCTGCCGGCTCAACTTCCACCGGCCTATGAGTGACACTTCATGTTTTTACCCTAAGACGCGCAGGTGAGTCATGATTTAATCTTGGTCACACAGCAACCTGCGTATACTCACAGTACCTGTACAAGGATTGTCATCGCAGCAATCGCTTTTTGATACGCAATGTTGTCCTATTTTGTTGCATGCACCCACAAACATGGATGCTGTCATAGCAATAACAACAGCGAGGATGGATAAACGCATTCTTAATGAGGTGATATGGAATCGTCTGAGGGAGTTCTCGAATGATATCTCTGAGGATGGGAGAACACTGTAGGTCGACGACCAGCTTTTATACTTGCATATCATTGTTGGCACAGTTCGGATTTTGGCAGAATTGTTTTGCTGTCAGTTGGTGTAAACCCTGCAGGAACGTATTCACCGTTGCTGCTGTCAACATCGGCAAATCTCTTTTCCATAACCACAGACGCTCGCTCAAATCCTAGGGCTCTCATCCCCATCCGTCACACATCGCTTTGTCGTTTGAGCCTGCACTGACCCTGACAGCACATCGACAAAGTCGAGAACTCTTATCGAGAGGATATACGAGCGAGAGACTACAAGCGAACGTTGTCGCACAATAGGATATGACCATTTTTTGGCTCCTTCCTCAGTATATGACAGTCCGAATCTCTGCTACTCGCTGATGGATGGTCACGTCACTATAACACGAGAGTTGAAGCTCAGTCCTGTTGATACTTCCGAGTTGTACTCTCATATCATTTGTCTCGTTTGTTACTTTCTTATTGCAATTTGCAGGTTGGTCACGGAATGTTGCGGGCGGAAAGTTCTACCAGCCAGTTCTGCCAAACCAGTTCTGCCTGGCAGACGGCAGAGCCCGGCAGAATGTCGAACTATAACAAATTCACCCCACGCTCAGAACGTCGATGATGATCTTGCAATCTTGAATCTACTTAGTTCGAGACTTTATACGGTAAGTTGTTATACTTTCAGTTTCGGAGCCTACGTCACTCATGCTTCGTTCCTGCCCCTTCTCTCTTGCGCTCGCACTTTTTCCTTCTCCTGTACATGTATCTTATGTTCGGCTCCCTCGGTCTTCCTGGACTCGGCCGTTTTGGATTCCGACAGCTCCTTATCAATTTATTCAGTCTTTTTTGTGTACAGAATATATGCACTCCGGAATAACAATAGAATCATACTCACAGCCAGTTGTTCGCTTTTCTGCGAGTCCCCTCAGCCTCACCGCACTCTGATCTCATGGTAGATGCAGTGCAGGCAGTTGCATCCATTACCATTGATGTTGCTGTGGTCAATGCCTCACATGGTTTGCATTCACCTCTTACTAATATTCACGCATATTCCGAGTCACTCCACTCTCATAGTTATGAGTTGCAAAATGGTGTTTTATTTTTCCTTATTTTCATGATCACTTTCTTCACAAGTTGCCAAATATTTTTCAAGGTCGAAAAGCAGCAGAACAGCATAGCAGACAGTGATGAAAACACTGGTACTTTACGAACATATGGCACAAAGACTTGTGTTTGCTTGAAGTTTGTAGCAGACCGCAACAGGAGCATTTTATTCGATGTTCATTTTATGCAACCTTTGATCAAGTTGGTGGACAGGTGCTCCCTTGATGTCATCGAGCGATATAGATTCAGGAGTGCAAGATCATTATCGATGACATTTCTGAGTCTGGGGTGAATTTGCTACAGTTCAACATTCTGCCGGATTCTGCCACCTGCCAGGCAGAACTGGCTTGGCAGAACTGGCTGGTAGAATGTTCCGCCCGTAACATTGCGTGACCAACCTGCTAATGGTTTACAAATTGCAATAAGGGAGCAACAAACGAGACAAATGATATAATTATAAGATATTGACCGAGCACAACTCGAAAGTTATCGACAGGAATGAGCCTCAACTCTCGTTTTTAATGCGAGTGACATAATAATCCATCGACGGGTAGCAAAGACTCGGACTGTCTGGCTTTCGAGTAATATAAGCATATACTGAGAAAGGAGCCAAAAAGGGCCTGTCCTATTACGCGACAACGTTCGTCTGTAGTCTCCCGCTCGTATTCCTCTCGATAAGACTTTTCACTTTGTCGCTGTGCTGTCAGGCTCAAATGACGAAGCGATGTGTGACGGATGGGGATGAGAGCCCTAGGATTCGAGCGAGTGTCTGTGGTTATGGAGAAAAGATTTATCGATGTTGCTAGCCAACGGCGAATACGCTCCTGCAGGAAAAAAAATTCTGCTAAATCAATCAGGACTGTGCCGATGATAATATGCAGGGTATACAAGCCGGTCGTCGACCTACAGTCTTTCCATCCTCAGAGATATCATTCGAGAACCCCATCAGAACATTCTATATCACCTCGTGAAGAATGCATTTATCCATCCTCGCTGTTGTTATTGCTTTGACAGCATCCATTTTTGTGGGTGCATGTGTGTTAGAAGGAGAGGCTTGCAGAAATAAAATCGACTGCTGCAATAACAAGAATTGTAGAGCCATTAATGACATATATGTAAGCAGGTTGCTGTGTAACCATGATTCAACTATGACTCACCTGAGCGCCTTAGGGCTTGGGACATCATTCGTGCCGCTCATGGTAAAGGTCGAAGCGGCAGCCCAAGCAGTATGTCACGACAGTAAGTCCTGCTTCTGCCTTCGTTTTTTTATCGTAGTTGACGGTGCAATACCCAGTTCGGAGCCAATCGATACAGTTTCTTTTGGACAAATTTTCATACTGCTCGACAATTTGGATGTTTAAATTTATCTGAAAATGATCAGCCGTATCTAATGTTGCTCGTGGTCAACAAAGCTTGAGGTCGATTCACTGTCGAAGCGCGATCATTGCTGTTGGCGATTAATATTGGGAGGCTATATGAAGATGGGACGCACTGCTGCACAGGTCAGTGAATTGTTCGTCTAACGTTGACCTCGAATTTTAGCTCGTGTAGGATCTTTCCATTGATGGAACAAGTTCACACGGCGGCAGAGCGACGGCTCCTGAGAAAGAATCACGTGAATACATGGTGTTATCTTATCTGTTTATAATTCGTCAGTACTACGTAAACCCGTTCATTGATGACCTCCTTCAACTTCTCCACCTGGCCTCCACATCTAATTCCAGAGCAATTAGAAGCTCTGACGCTCGCCGCAACAACATATGCGCTCTCGCACGGATTGCTATACCTTCCACCTTCGCAACTACCATCCAATACCCAACCATGCATACCAACCACCGCAATCCATGCCCCACTCTCACTCATTCCCGCACCCTTTCCCCGTGCGCAATTCCAAGCTGCAAGAGAGCTACAGAGTGTATATAATGTGCTCTATGCACGCGTAGCGATGGATACCCAATTCTTAGATACAGTGATGGGCGCCGAGCAGGGCGTAGGAAAGGCGGATGAGTTCACAGGGACGCTCTGGAGGGGGTGGAAGAAGATAAGGGAGGACGGTGTCCGAGCACAAGTACGTTTGATGCTTCTTGCTTTTGTCACCTGACTGAGCATTAATTTGCACGTAGCCATTGCACCTGGGCTTGTTTAGATCAGATTATCTGTTACACGCTACGGAAGATAGACTTGCACTGAAGCAAGTTGAATTCAATACCATATCTTCATCCTTTGGTCCACTTTCTGAGCGTGTGGCTGCTATGCATAGGTGTGTCTAGGTTTGTGCATATATTTCGTAGACACTGATGCGGCATAGAAATATCCTGGCATCTACCTCCTACTTTTCTGCATCTCCACATCTTACTGCAGAGAATTTCCCAGAGAATAGCACCACCTCCGGCCTCGTTGAAGGTCTTTCCAAGGCTCATGAAGCGTATGGCGTTCGAGAGTCAGTTCCAGACACGTTCAAGCACGCATCCATTCGTGAACTCACATCGATCTAGCGCGCGCATCCTGTTCGTCGTGCAACCAAATGAACGCAACGTGTTCGATCAACGATGGTTAGAGTACGAATTGCTCGAGAAGTACATCCCCATCTCTCTCGCCATCGCAGACTAACACGGTGGGACAGACATCAAATCCACGTCATACGTCAAACAATCGCCGACCTAACCGCCTCTGCGTCCCTCGACCCCTCTACGCACGCACTGTTACTCACCTCCCCGACTAATCCCTCACCATACGAAATCTCCACGATCTACTTCCGCGCAACCTACACCCCATCTGACTTCCCGTCACCTTCTTACTATGACACGCGTTTCCTCCTAGAGCGCAGCCGCGCCATCAAATGCCCCTCTCTTCCCCTCCAACTAGCAGGCGGAAAGAAAGTCCAAGAAACACTCACGCGCCCAGGGGTACTCGAGCGCTTCCTCAGTAACGAAGGCGCAAAATGGGGCGCACGCGCCCTCGATCTCACAGCGCATGCAGCAAACATCCGGGCCACCTGGATGGGCATGTGGGCGCTTGACTCAGAGGATCCTGATATTGCCGCTGCGCTCGATCACCTCCCTGCTTCGGGACAAGAACAGAACGTACCGCCCGGAACACGTCTTGCGCTCCTGAAGGCCCCGTCGCTCGTGTTAAAGCCCCAGCGTGAAGGAGGTGGGAACAATGTCTACCGTGAAGCCATTCCTGCGTTCCTAGACACTCTGCCCGCTGAAGAGCGCGAAGCCTGGATCGCAATGGAGATGATCGAGACGCCACGCGGGGTAAGCGGTTACCTCGTACGCGCATCTCCCTCGAGTTCAGCTACAGATAACGGGAGCATAGAGAAGAAAGTTGTACGAGCAGAGGTTATCTCTGAACTAGGTATCTTTGGGTATGCATTATTTGGAGAGGGAGAGGTGGTAGAGAGGGAGGTGGGATGGCTTGTCAGGACCAAGGGTACAGAGAGTAACGAGGGCGGGGTTGCGGCTGGGTTTTCAGTATTGGATAGCGTGGTGCTTGTTTGATGCATTCGTTTATGGGATAGAACACTTGCAATTTTAGAGTTAGAGGCAATGAATTGTCGCTGGAGAACAGTGACTCGACCTGTATTACACCAACCCGAAAATTTACACGAAGAGATCAGCCTGAGGATGCAATGCTCGGTTGTTGACTCACCTATATTAGCATATGTTCGTTCTCAGTTCATATTTTACAGTCGAGTCCTGAATACGCTTGGCAAACTACCAAGGTAGGCAATACAATTATTGCACGACTTTTGACGAAGATGTTGACCATGCTGAGTTTGACATGCTTCGAAGATCAAGTGACTGGCAGCCACTGGTTAAAGCAAGACTTCTGTATTTAAAACAATGAGACCGTAGATATAACCGTGGCTCCAGCATAATCAGCTTGATATGCACCATTGGGACTCGAGACTTCGAGAGCTACGTGAGGAGCCATCGACGAGACAAGACATAGGCGACATACATTTACCTATAACCTAGCTCAAGTGTCGGAGACCATTCTACAGGTAAAAAATAGAGCCAGTATAACCTTGCCGATACTTTACATAGTCTGACAGCGAACTCGACGATGTGAGCGCTATCGAAAGTGTCTGGAGCGACGAGGTATGCCACACAGCGACTAGATGACAGACATCAAGATTGCTAATATATCAGTGGTTCGTGAAGCATCAGGACATAGTACGCGCGCTGAGTGCCCTGCCAGTTGAACGGTTTGCAAATTGACACAATTGAGCTAAGCCATGTCAGCTGAGGCTGGGAGAATGTGAAATCAGGGCCGGAGGGGCGTTTGAGATGCTGAATATTCAGAGAAAATTTTCTGAAGCTGATGGAGGCAGTGACTGTAAACACTAAAAATTCATTCAGAATGGCAATGCCAGTTCAGGATCACGAAAAGTAATGATCTTACCGCTTGGGAATCAAGGTACACTATTGGTTTTCTCCCTGTGATAGTATGTAATCGTACCACTTTCCATGCTTATAATGCGCACTTACCGATGAATGGAGCGGACGCTACCCTCCTCGTAACGGAACCAACTACCATGCGAGCGGACATCATGGAAAACGATGAATAGACTGGAGTAAATTGATTGAGTTTCTAAAATAGTATATACGCGTCGGTCGCATCACGTGCACCGAATATGATTAGATTAGGAAGTCGATGTCGAAAACGCCTCGTAAACTCAGCTTTGCAAAACGTCTCTATTAGATTCAACAAGTCGATTGATTTATGTTGCATTTACGTACGCTCAAAAACTGCTCTGCGATTCCATATCATCAAACCAATATTAAAAAAATCACGTAGTCCCTCGGTGCGTACCCTTTGCCGACTAAATACAGCCCGGGGCGTACCCTATGCCGACTAGTTACCAGGACCATGTAGTAAGTAAGCTCCCATTCGCGGGAAAGTTGTAAGTGTTACTAACGGTATAACCGTGGAAGCCTAACGGCTGTTTCTTTGTTATTTCCGATGAAACTGGGCGCTCGTATGCCCCATTGGCCGTGTCAACGGGGAACTCAACTTGTCTTATTGTATCTCGCTCGTAAATCTCTGGAATTTTTTTCAAAGTTCTGAGTTCGTAGAAGTCGCGCCCAGGGCTCGTCATGGTGGCCGTGCGGTTTGAAACGCGGAGTTTATACATACAGTGGCCAAGAATCTATCTTGGGAGTTGAATTGTATTCTGTTGAGGCGAAGTACTCGCGCTTGCTTCTGTGACACCCATCAGATTCTTGATAGAAAATCCTAAATGTCGCGTCCGCGGTACGCAGCATCGAAAATAATTACGTGGACGTCAATCAGAGCGTGCGGTTCGATAATGGTCTGTTAATGGTCTGTCGATGGATAATAATTTGTTGGGTTATGTACGACACGGATAATTCGCAGGTATGTACCTTGCTCGACATGTCCTTGGTTGCAGGCGTGTAGCACCGATCTTGTAGAAGGAAAGAAGCCGCAACTACCAAAGTTCCGGTCGGCCTGAGGAACCCATTATCAAATGCAGGCACCTAGCCACACCTGATGGTCAATGCCTGAACGTCCTGTTCCTGTCATGGATGTCATATTCCCTATGGTGCTGTGCACGGGCTGCCGATGTCGACGACTCGATGGATAATTCGCAATGCCATTTCATTGTTGGATGACGATGTTCGATTACATAAAAACTGTTCAGGATCGTGTTTGTCACACCTCGCAGATGAACTCAATAATATGCGTGAATATAGTAGATACCTTGCTGTTACGTGTCACTAAACCCTTATGGATTTGCGTCTCTCCGCTACATCTGGTGGAAATCTGCAAGGTGCCTGGGAGTTGATCTAGTATCCGTCTGTAAAGTCCCTGAGCGCGATTTAGTGGCAGATGTGACAATTTGGTCCTGGCAGATTCATCTGAACACAGCCGTAAATATGGGGACCTGAAGAGCCGGATCCAGAACGTCCAGACCATCTAGAACAGTCCGTAATGTGTTCCTACACATCTGAAATTTGTCAAGCAAGGTAAGAAGAGCGTGTCTAGCGTCAAATGAAACAATATAAAATGCGCAACGCACGCACATCTTGAGCTACATTCAAAATCACTTTACCAAGTTCATTCAACGTGCTCGACACCACCAACCTTAAAATGGCGCAGCTCATCCCTATTACCACTCCTACTCGAGTATTCGAAGATCGCACACACACGATCTACGCGGTCGCAGATGTTCCCTATAGTCAACAGATAGTGACCTCCTCTGAAGACAGGCTGGTTCGTCTGTGGGATTTAAAGACAGGTGAGGTGTTGAAGAAAATGGAGGGGCACACTGGTGAGGTCATGGGATTGGCGGTATCGCGCGATGGGCAAATGATAGCAACCGGTGATGAGAACGGAGAGCTCATCGCCTGGCAGGCAAAAACTGGTGAATCTCTCACCAAACTCAAGGTACACGGTAGTGCAGTCCGCTCGCTCGACTTTTCACCAGACAATGCGTTCGTGGTCACTGCGTCGTCGGCACCAAACGACCAAACGGTCAAGTTTTGGAACACCAAAACATGGACGCAGTACCCCGTCAATTACAACTGCGGTAGCACTGTTCGCTGCGTTCGGTATGCGCGGTCTGGAGTATATATGCTTGCAGTTGCAACGGACCAAGACATCCAAATTTACATCGGCGAAAAACTCCAAAAGAAGTTGAAGGGTCACAGTCACGGTACATTGTCACTCGCCTGGTCTCCTGATAGAACGCGTCTTCTTTCGGGGGGAGATGACCATGATCCCAGCATACGGGAGTGGGACACGTCGAGCTGGACGCAGGTCGGTGCTCCCTGGACGGGCCACACATACAAAGTCAATTCCATCGCCATCAATTCTTTAGGCACACATGCAGTTTCCGCCTCTAGCGACAACTCTGTCCGTCTATGGCAGCTCTCTGATCAACAAACTATCGCCATCTTCCAGCACACTTCTTCTGTCGTTTATGCGACCTTCTCCGCAGATGGCACGCACATCCTTAGCGGAGGTTATGATAAGAAAGTCACATCCTGGACGGCACCCAAAGGTACTTTGCAAGCGTACAATGCTACCAAGGAAAAGGTAATTTCCAGTCGGTTTACCTTCCTATCGTCATCTCATTTTGCATCTTTTTTATTCAAAGGCTCTAGAATTTTCCCCCAAGCGGCAGCCAGGGTCAAAGGTAACTTCCAATTAATCACATCTTCGTCCGTCTCATCCTCACTTCTGTCCAAAGACTATAGAATTTGATTCAGAGACTGAAGGCTCTGATTCTGAGTCTCTAAAGGCAGTTTTGACGACTGAAAGCTTTGATTACAAGCCTTTGCAGGCAGTTTTGACAACTGGAAGCCCACATTCCAAGTCTCTGAAGGCAGTTTCGACAACTGAAAGCTCAGATTTCAAGTTTCCGCAGGCAGTTTCGACGACTGGAAGTTCCAACTACAAGTCTCTGCAGGCAGTTGCTACGACTGGAAGCTTCGATTCCAAGTCTTTGCAGGCAGTTTCCACGACTGGAAACGTCGATTCCAAGTCTCCGCAGGCAGTTTCTACCATTGGAAGCTTCGATTCCAAGTCTTTGCAGGCAGTTTCCACGACTGGAAGCTTCAATTCCAAGTCTCTGCAGGCAGTTTCTACCACTGGAAGTTTCGATTCCAAGTCTCCGCAAGCAGTTTTGACGATTGAAAGCACAAATTTCAAGTCTCCGCATTTCGATTCTTCGCAGGCAGGTTTGACGACCGAAAACTCCAATTTCAAGTTTCCACAAGCAGTTTCGACGACTGGAAGCTCCAATCACAAGTCTCTGCAGTCAGTTTTGACGACCACAAGCTTCGCTCCCAAGTCTCAGCAATCGCCTTTGACTGTCCAGTCTCTATCCAATGAGCAGTCTGTTTCCAAGGCTGAACAATTTATCACCAAGTCGGAACAGTCTGTTTCAAAGGTATGATTTCATCCTTTGCTCGTATGCCGCCATTTGAGCTTTTTTCCACGCAGACGCTTGTCATCACCACGGATGAGCTCCTCGCTATCACCAAGACTATCCGTATTGCGTCCATTACAGGGGACTTGGCTACCGCTGAGAAGGTCCTCACTCAAGAGATTACTGTCGATGCCAAGAACTTCACCTGCTATGCCAACCGCTCTTTTGTTATGGCACGCAAACTCGACTGGGAAAATGCGTTCAAGGATGCAAACAAGGTAGCAACAACCCGGCACGCCCTAGTCAAAAAATTCGCTGACTTCGATGGTTACAGTCTCTTGCTATACGGACGTCGTTGGCCGGTTATATCGCTAAAGGTATCGCCCTCTGCGGAAAACAGCTTGTCGAGGATGCGAGGACAGCCTTTGACCTGGGGTTCACGTTCACGCAGGGAAATATGGATGCTACAGTGTTCCTTTACTTAATCAAGGCAGGTCTATTTTTTCGTCTTGCGTACTCCACGCTTCATTATGTGTTTCAGGCTATTGCGCTCTTCAATGCCAGCAGACACAAAGAGGCAATGATTCGTGTGGATCAGCTGTCTGCTGATCCTTCTGCCGATCCCCTCGCTTGTGGTGTCGTGGTGGTGAGTCGTGTTCTCAATTACGCCCATGCTCGTCTGCTGACTGATTGCGTATCAGGCGAGTCTGCGGGTCCAACTAGGAACCAGTGCTTTGAATGGCGCGCGTCATACTGAGGCCATCGAGCACTTGACTGCTGCTGTCAAGGCTAGCACTTTCTTGGCTAAATCTGCTGCTCCCGCTGCTTGCGAGGCTTTCACTGTGGTCCGTTAAATATGATGTCACCGGCAAACTCACCTTTGCTCAACTTCTCCTGTTTTGCAGCTCTTCGGATGGGACATCGAGGCATTGTGGGAAACTTCCAACAGGCAACTGATCCTTGCGCTCCTTGGAGCTGGGAGGCTCGGAGAAGCCTTTGAATCGTACCGTTTCGCGATGAATGCAAGTGATGAAGCTACGAAGACCAGCTTACATTCTTGGATCTTGAGTGAGTCTTACCAGTGATGCCACCCATGTTACGATGTTCAACCCTTTTTCACTTAGCGCTCTCGTTGTGATGAATAGTGCAGTATACCTACGCGCAGACTATTACATATGTATAGCCTGAGTTTGAAACACGGGTATCTACTATAGATTTTCTTTGGCGATTACTGTTTCATGTACATCCCTGTTGACACGCTGGCTGAAGACAGAATGCAGACAGATTATTTTACAATGCTTTCCTCTACTTCACCGATGGTCCGACTATGCATTATAAGTCCTACAACAATGGTTCTGCTTGTTCGACGCGTATCCTTCTTCGCTTTGATCGAGAGTCGCTATCTGCATCACTTCAAACTGATCGTCGACTGAATTTCTTCACAAACTTGCCAGTCGCTCAAAGGTCTGTCATACAAGAACGTTTCGATCTGAGAATAAGTATATCTCCACCTGGCAACGAGTGGCTCGCTTCTAATCTTTGCGAAATTGTCGAAGATAAACAATGCTCTAGACTTAGGCTGTAAAAACTTCCTGACCATGATGATGGCATGGTTTTTCAGCTGATAGAAGTCGCGAGCACTTACTGTATTGTACAAGTCATGACTCACTCGAAATTTAATATCTGTATGAACGTCGTCATAATGGACCTCTGCTACTAGCAGTAATGCATCAGGCTTATCCGCCTATCAGTCTCTCGTTGTGCATTGAAACCCAAGTCTTGCGATTGACATGTCATATTCGACTACATTTACAAAAAACCTTTCAAATAATAATATTACATTGGTTCGCAGATAAGTGATGATGCTGTGATCAGTCGCTGTTGACCGGAACTACAGTCAGTCAAGTTCCAGATAGAGGCGTTAAAACTCACTACATAGACTCAGTGGCACTTATTTTAGAAAGTCCTTCTCAGTGAGAATACGGCCATTGAGCATCTTTCCGAGATGAGTTGGTAGATACCCCATGCCTTTCCTTCTCATCCCGAACAACTGTTTCAGTGGAGGAAGCTGGGATCGCTGGAACATGCATGATGCTCTCGCAGAAGGGCGATTGACCGCCTCGATGAACCCGTCATTGTCGGCTACTAAGTCCTCTCCCTCCAAATCTGGCGCGTTGAGTCCCAAGAAGTTGCAAGTGTGCAGATACATGCTGTAATCCGAGAAATAAAGTTGGGCTGCAAAGAGGTTGAGCTGGCAAATCAGCGATTGCGATGGTGCCCACTGTGGGGCTGAAGGAACGCAATAGAGTCGAAGGCTGTCGCATGCCTGCATCGTTTGCATGGTGCGAGGAGTGTAGATGCACAGGTGAACCAGCTTGCTCGTGCGGATATCAGGTAGTAGTGCGTCCACTTCATTAGGGCTCATGATTACCAGCATTGGGTGACCAACATTGCTGGATACAATCCAATTGACGGGCCGCAAATAGTCGTCCACTTTATGGATGCCAGAGATAGTTCCTGTCGTATGAGCGAAGTCGTGAGTGACTAAAACATTGTGTGACCACTGATCGCGCTCATCAAATTCAGCAGTGGTGTTGAGAAGGCTGGATAACACTTGAATGAATGCGGGAGAATCCGTGGCAATTTGGCCAGACTTCACGAATTGACGAACGTGTGCATGCACGTTCTGGGCTGCAGGTTCTACCCTAGGCGGTCTCTCCACTTGACGCTCGCTCTCTTCTTCTTGTATTACTTCCCTTTCTTGTTCCTCGTCCATGTTCCTTTTGGGAGCTGATAGAATCCCGAGCTCCTCGCACTTCGTTTGGATATCTGGATCGACATACTGGGATACCTCAGAGGAACTGCGTGGTGCGTACAATGCTTCCAATGAACGTTCCTCTGGCTGCAACCAGGCTGACTTCAGGGTAGAGATCGAAGTGGCGGGGGCGTGCGAGAATTGAGTCCATGCGCAATGTCGTGTATTGAAATCCGATCGCTGTTGGATCCAGGATAATGCACGCATTTCAATATCAATGCAAGTTTCAAGCATCGCCCAGTGCAAGATATCTGATACATTGACACCATCGGTATCAGCTTTCAGCGTTGCCGAACGAATGCTCTGGTCAACTTCGGCAGGAGCGAAGAACATTACTGATTGTCCATTGCCCAGCTTGCGCATTCGCATACATCCTTTATCATCCACGATTAAGATTAGAATCTATATGTACAACCTCTAAAAATCACAGACCTTGCGTCAGGCGATCTTTCGTGACTCTGGGGCCAAGCGTGACAGCAGCCCGGAAATTATGAGGCAGCTTGACGTCTGTTCCCCTCGTGTGGGCGTCGTCTAGATATACCACACATTGGTCAAGCTGCTGTGCAAAGGGGGACGACACAAGGGGCTCGACTGTCCCATCCAGACTGACAACAACGAGTTCATCGTCGTCATTCACAAAGACTGCAGCTTGGGCGTTGGGCGTGGCTCGAAGCCATGCTTCGGCCAACTCTTGATTCCTCAATTCCAGCATCTGCGCCCCCACATCTAGGAGCACGCGAATCTCGGGGGTTTCTGTGACGAGAGTACTGATGAAGTCATGCACCCCTTGGCCAGGCGGTATGCATTTGTAGCGATTGTTTTCCGGGCGCAGAAGAAAGGCTAGGACTCGAGCATTCGTGCTTCGTTGGTGGTCAAGGTCGCGCTGCACAATTGAGCTCGGTAATAGATATCGATTGTCGTTTGTACCAGAAAAGCCGGTTATGAGATGATTTTTTTCTTGGGCGAGATCCCATCCGGAGCAAGCGAGCTTACTGGGGAAACCCTTAGCTTCCTTGGGAAAAACAACTTGAGACAGGTAGAAATCTACGACTGCCTTGTTGGATGCGAACAGTTGCTGAAGGTCGTTGAGCTGGTCTGTAGATTCTGTGTTGATTCCGCTAAGGCGCCGTAGACTTTCTGGGACAGACTGAAGTCCAAGTACCCAGGATTCGTACTCGAGGGCAGGATTGTCTTGCTTCAGCAGGAGCTCGAAGCATTTCATCAACTGCTGGAGCGTGAGGCCTGCATAGTAGTATGACATGCATGTAAGAGTGACAGCGACATCTGGATGGCCAAATTCTGCCCGCAGCGAAGGCATGTCTTTAGCACGGAATGGAACAGCTAACATCGTTCGCTTTGGGGCAAGACCATAGTCAACGCGCCACCGGCGTTCCCTGAGGGCATACACCAAGACACCGCATGCCAGCAATCCACGCAAAACTAGAAGGCCGTGCCAGACGGTAGTGCCTCTATAGCGCTCCGTCACTAAGGAAGTACAAGTGTTGGATATATTCTCAGTGGCAATGAACTGGTGGACTGCTTCTTTGACGCAATGAGAGGCTTGATCGAAGCTGATATTTTCAAGTGACCCGCTAATAACATCCTGTGCGATCCATTGGACTAGGGCTTCACCTGCTGTGGGGTGCAGAAGTCGAATGAAAGGAAATACTCCGTGGTTGCGGATAGACACTTCTGAGTGAGAGGGGAATTCATTCATGAGTCGAGCAGCGTGCTTTGCAACAAGACTCAGAACTTGTTGTGTAGTCGTCCACCTGTCAGGATGACCCTGGAGCGACCTTTGAAGGCCGACGGTGTACACCAGTTGGTAGCGAACATGCAAAATTTCATCACTTTCGTCTAGGATGTCGCGTGTATGATTATCGAGCCACAGCTGAGTCTGCAGTATATCTTCAGCAACTTCAGACCGAGGGAGCAACTGATGGTCAACGGCCATCAACTGGAATGACAGGATATGATCCGGTTGCACGACCAAGATGCCCTTGGTATCCATGCATTCTTGCATCAGGTTACGATACATTTGCACCTTCGATGAGTCGATGGAAAGAGCGCGGGAGAAGGGAATATAGAAAATGCGCCTCTGTGCAAGGCCGCTTAATCGTTCAACCAGGAGCTGAAACATCTGGGCAGATAATGACTTCAGCACGATTACTCGAACCAGTTTATGGCCGTCGGAAAGTGCGGCTGCCGCGAGAGGAACGATCACGTAGGATTTCCCTTCGCCCATATTCAGTTGGAGAGAAGTATTTCCCCCCTTGCAGGGTGATATCATCTCCTGCGCAACCTTCATTTGGACAGGCCGTGCCAAGAACTGGCTTTCGATCTGCAATACTTATCATCAATAAGTGTGAATGAACGACTTCTCCCTAAGCATACCTGTATTAGAAGCCAATCAGGGCATGGTTCCGAATCAGACCGCTCGCATTCTTTATTCTCCAATTCCTTGAAGAACTCGCCCCAGTTTTTGCTAGCGGCAAACATAAACAGCCTTCGCGAACGCTGCAGTTGCAAAAGCATCTGCGACAAGCTGACAAGAACCGTATGCCACCCCTCCCCCAAACAACTTCCTGATACAGAAGCCATACGAGTGAAGAGGAAATTTGGTGTGACTCGAGGCCACAGCCCAGCATTGTATAATGCATTCTCGGCAGCAGAGACAGGAGAGAGGACGCGTACGATAGATACAAATGCATCTTGGAATTGCCAGTTATGAAGAGTATGGTGTTCTAGCAATGCCTCGGTCGTGTATGGCGCAGGATCTGGTAAGGCAACAATCTTTTCTTCGCAGAACATCAATCTGCTCTGGTCCAGATCATCGGCGTAGTTACGGCGGAACCTGTTGCTTCCTTTATCGCGGAAGTCGCTGATGAGTTTTTGCAACCTCACTGTGGCTACGGTGTCTGGAGAGATCAAAGCGCTCTGATCTGAATTGGGCAGAGCACGGTGGGGTGGCGTGTGGGAGGGCGTTTGCCACCGTTTGAGTAGCTTAGTCAGCAAGGATGGGTGAGGCCATACCAGCTTCCGTCTGCCAGAGGCAGGCGTATTACTAGTCGCGCTAGTCGAAAGGAAAGACCCAGGCATATTGCTAGCCGCGCCAGTCGAACGGAAAGACCCATTCATGCGCATAGCAGGCGGGTTTCTAGCGAAAAGATAATTGGCATCAACGGACGAGGCTGCTGAAGCAACAGAGTCGTTAAGGTGGGAATCAAGATCGTATCGTGAGGGTAGGTTGGATGGAGGATGAGTGGCGTGGTACGAGTTGAGGGTTTCCTGCAGGACATCCAAGTGTTGCTTCAGACAATGGTTTGCCCAACAGCTGAGATATACTGGGCGAAGTTTCTCTGACAGGTCATCGAGATCGTAGCAGTTCACTTGCAGCGTATTCAGTGCCGGAGGATCTTTGCACGGCCAAGCCTGAACTTTGTTGAGAATGAGATGCTTTTCAGAGCGACACCTATCTTCAAAAGCTGAATGACGACGTCTGCCAAGAGCCATTTCATCTTCGTAGCTCCTTGCAGGTAGGTATCTCTCCTGGCTAGTTTCATAATCTTTGACACACGAATTGACGATGTTGTCCAATATCGCACTGGAAGGCATGAAACCATCCGAGAGATCATATGACGCAAACTTCGGTGGGTCACCCAGGGTGCGAATTTCGGGAACTGTGGCAAAGGCTAGGAGTGTCGGGATAAGTGCATGCTCGTCCAACAAGCCATATGATACCGAAGCTAGGGTAAAGGCGAGCTGGAATGTGTCGTCTTTCGTAGCAACGCGACAGTAGTCGTACGCAGAAAGGAAGATGTCGTGGAATGGCCGAAACCAGTATTTAGAATATCGCAAGCTGAGCGATGGGTCACCAACGCCTTGGACGTTCTTCCACTGAGTCAACAAACGGAGAATATCCTGTTGCACCGGAAGCCTGCATGGCCACTGGTGAGTCATAAAGGCGGTGTTAAATGCTCTCTCTTCTGCATCTTTATCGGGTACATCGCGCGAGGCATAGATGACATCTGTGTTACCGAGTACAAGCGGAAGAGAAAACTGGTCAGTGTAGACCACAGAGGCATGGATGGATGCACGCTCAAGAAGGTGGTTGGTGAGTGGCGGTAGATCAAATGTAAGATTAGGGTCTGAAGATCCTTCTGAGAAAGCTGAAAGTTGCATGCCGTAGTCCATAATAGATTTCGCAGCTGGATGAAAACCGTGGTGTTGTGCAAGGGATGAAAGACACGACCATGAAACCGTCTGCATCTTCTGAAGATGCGTGGGATACCAGACGCGCATGGTTGACAACGAACTTATTTCGCGCAAAAGATGTGTATCGCGGGCGCGAAGCTTCATGAAAGAGCGGCAAGCTGCAGAATGCATAAGATGCAACGCCTCCTCTGTCCCTGTTCGACCCGTCAGAGGATCAGGGAGACAGCCGCTGGTAACAGCGTGAAGGAGCGCCTGATAGAGCTTGTTCGTTAGACCTACACGCCCAGTGAGACAACGTAGATCTGTATCAACCCTGTACAAGTGGTACGCCACTCGGGCACCTTCATTTGTAATGGTAACCTGGACGTGATGCCTATTAACAGCGTATGAGATATGACCATCTGGGATGATGACTGTGCGGGGACACTCGTCCATGATTTGCGACTTTGGACGCATGACGAGTTGATTGACCAATCCCAACATCGTTCCAGTAGACTGAATGTCATCAATGACCATATTGCGCATGTTACGGGACTGCAGTTCCCCATCCTCGTCGATGAAGAATTCCAGACCATATCGAGGTAAATCAGCCTTCAACAAGTGAGTGTTACCAGAACGCTGGTTGCATGTGACCATGATGTAGCAAGTATCCTCCAGAGGACGTATCCTCTTGGAGATCATGTCCCACGTTGGGCTGCGTATGTCGACAAGAGTGGCACCACCGGCATTCTGCAGCATCGAGGGGCCTGAAACAGCAAATTGCAGGACCCAATTGTCAGGTGAAGACTGCCATGCACATTCCGCTGGCCGAATCTCTATTTCGTATGTGTCCAGGTTGAGCCAATGAGTATGGCCTATTATTAAGGTCGTCGGAAGGTCCCCCACGAATTTCTGGCTCGGAATGAGTTGAAGGATAGGCGAGCCTTGTTCGATACGCTTCGCATGCACAATGAGGTCGTTTGGGTCGCGGAGAGCGAAAGACACCTTCATCGACAAGCGAGTATATTATTTTAGTTGCTGAGTGATGACGACGAGAGTAACTAACCTGATGTCCGTAAGGGTTTCCGCGTGTCGCATACTCCATTCCAGGAATATCAGCTGGAACAATGTCCAGAACTTGCTGTAATTAACGAATCAGCGCGCACCAACAGAATCGTAACTTTCAAAAGCTAACATCACCGAAAATTGTCTGGTAGATGGGATGTTCCACTATAGTCGACGGAAGCCTACCCAGTCGCTTCCCATCAACAAGCAAACACCCATCAATTAAGTTATAGTGCACAGATTGCGGTGATTGAGAATGGGAAGGTGCGGTCTGCGTCACAAGCCAACGAGAACTCGGAGCCGGCAGGGCCTTCCAAGGAGTTCCTCGTCTATAGCTGCCCCAAATTGCTTCTACCGCACAATCGAGACCCTCCCTGTGATTCTCTGCATATCGACGAACAGCAGCTTCTAATGCGTGGCAGCATCTCTTGTCTCGTTCTAGCAGTAGCTTGGAATGTTGCGGCAGATTGTGCAGGTTGCTTGGAGTATTGTCGTAAATCATGACCCCACAGTACACAAATAGCCTTGATGTCGTCATTTGATGTCAAGAGCAGCGAAGGATCTCCGTCGACATCAAAGGTGCTCCGACAAGGTAGCGGCTATAGTCACGAAGTCGTCCTTGTAAATCCCGACTCGCCTTCTCGTCATTGCTGGCTTGCATTTTCTGTGCAAGCTGCCTTAGTAACGTAAAGGTCGCTGTTCGTATCCTTCGAAGCAACAAATATCCCAGACTTTTGATACTCTCTTCCTGTGTCAAGGACAAGACACGGCATACAATCATGATGATGGTGCTTAACGTGATACCTTCCAACCAATTTTCTTCGACGTTCGCCATTAAGGACTCCAGCTCTCCGAGCAGTGCGCTAAGGAATGCTATGCTGTTCAATTCCTCGTGCCACGGAAGGTCTTCATCAGATGAACGTGGGCCAACCTGTGAAACGGCTTGCGCGAATAATAAATGGACCTCTTCGCATCGAAAATTGAGTGTTCCTCGCACGGAGTTCCCGTAACACATTCATCCATTGCAGTAGCGGTCCACTTCGTAAAACTCCGAACGCGATGAACTCGTGAATGGTCATATCCTTGTGACAATCTGCCTGATTGGCGATGACCTCATTTGAGGTGTGTGACGTTCCTGCGAGGTACTGCTGCAGACAACTATACGGTCCCTTGGGAAGAAGGAAAGTGCATAGTTTGCTGGAATCCCATCGCAGCAGTGCGCCACCTATCCATGCATCTGTGGTTATATCAAAAGGCTGATATACGAGACCATTGTTCACACAGACGCGATCGGCCAGCGTTGGAATATTTTGGTAATGGTAATGACACGCAGTGAAGGGTTTGGCCTCTGACGCCAAAGTCAGTCTTTGCCTTGGATGACGTTTGCGGTATTGCTGCAAGGCGCTATAATTCGGCAGCGTGATGAAGGGGGGAGTGGGCAAAATCTTTTCTGGAGTGCAGATGTCGACGAGAACATGGAATGTCAAAGATCTCCACATGTCGAACGCGATGGGACATGCTAGCTCGAATACAACCATGATCGCCTGCTTTTCATACCGCGGTAGTGGCCACTCATGAACTGTAATGGTCATGGATCGCATCTGCTCCTCCAGGCAACATTTGTCACACCACCGACAGTGGCGCTCATAACCCCAGGAGGTGACATAGTATTTATGTGACAAGCTTGCTGCGTTCTTCTGAAGGTCAGCGTACCTTTCGTTGAGGGTCCGAAGCTCAACCAACTTCCTCTCCCGCTCCTCCTGAGCATCCAACTCGATTTTCCGCTTTAAACTCTGCAACATGGATGACTGGTAAAAATATTGCACCGCGAATGATTTGTCATCGTCGGTGGACGATAACACCGACAGATGGTTGGAAGCCTGGAAATGACGCACTTCCAAGTAGGCGCACAAGTGCTTTAAACGATCAAGAGCTGAAGATTGTCGGATCAGGAGATTCGTCCAAAGAGTCGATGGCACTTCAGGGGGATATTGTGCCAGGAGTGGGATTTGTTTAAGAACGAGCTTATCCATGGCTACCCAGAGCTCGAAAAGAGTAAGAAGCATCATTGACGTATTCTCCGGGTTTCCTTCGTAAGCTTCCAGCGCTCGCGAGGAGTATGCGGAGGCACATGCTTCGATCGAGACGCATGCAGAATCGATGGTCTCAAATGAAACACGCGCTACCCAGTCATCGACCCCTGATCTAACGACAGCCTCGAAGTCTATCAGGGAAAGGGATGGTTCTGCAGCATGAGCAGCTATCAGGAAGCTAGCATCAGCGTCAAGGAAATCATCAATTGTTCCACGTGCGCAGTGGCTGGGATTGAACGAGGCCGATTCGGAAGACGAATGCTGGTTCAGCAAAGCTTGGCGTATGTACTCTCGACTCGTGTTCAAGGAAAGGTGAGTGTCCTGCAAGACCGAGAGGGTATTGGGAGCCCAAGGAGGTGAGGTCTGCTGCACGTCTTGAACAGATCTCCATCTTCCCTCTAAGATACGCTTAACGTCACTCGTGACCTTGACCACCATCTCTGACAACTCCGGAGAAGCAGATGTTCCAAGCTTGAAAAGACGGCGTGCGATTTTGGCCGACATGAAGTGTAGGATGTCATTCGACAACTCATGGTCGATAGCGAGAGTTGTGACCCTAGCCATCAAGAACAGCAAGAATGATTTATATGTTGTGCGTCCGAGAGCGTTGCGTTCGAGAGTTGTCTGCAAAGCAACACGAATGACAAGCCAAAGCGGAGACCGCCTCCATGGCAATTTTGCATCGTTCCACAGCACGTCATCTCTGATCCGCTTGCGGATGCGAGGAACATTGGCAATGCTCCCGAGGCCACGGAGTATACCAGTCAGGAGTTCGGTGATATACCGGGGATGAGTGGTGTCCCTCTCTTCAGGAACTGTGGAATCAGCTTTTCTCCTCGTCGCTGCCGCATCAAGGACATCATCGTCCATGCAAACGAGAAAATTCGCCAGTGCGGCGGAAAAGGTAGCGTCATTGACAATCGTCTCTGGAACCGTGATAGCAGGTCCAGGATACGAGCAGATCAGCTTTCCTTTTGCGCCCAAAACTGCGGCGGGGTCAGGAGAGATCTCGAACGATTCGAATATGGTCTCGGATTCAAGTTTTCTCATGACTACCGCAGCGTTTTGCGCACGAATCATGAATACCAACACATCTTTAATATGATACTCAGCATAGGGGGAAAATGCAAATGAAAATAACAGACCTTTGTCGTCCATGGTATTGATTTGAGATTGAACTTCTTCTAGGGTCATGACGTTGAATCTGATTGAATGATGGAGGTTCTGAAGCATTTTAGAGCTGCCTGCCCAAAGCTGTTGCTTGTCGGACGTTAGCTGGCCAATGAAGGCTTGAGCAGCATGCAATACCGCCTGAGATAAAGCCAAGTCGTTCTCAAGGGTACGGTCGCACGCTTGCGGTAATTTGAGGGGGCAAAAAACATGATTGATGATATATTCCAGACCAGCTTGGTCCGTTGAATGTTCAGGCATATTGTTAGGATGAAAGAAGAGTGCAGTTACAATGAAATCTAGCCAGGTTAATAAGGCGTCCCTAAGCGCTCGTCCTCCAAAGTTGCACAAGCATCAACATGCTACCGAAGGTGTGCCATCTCTATCATGATTGAGGCTGTACATGGGCATTTGCTTGAAAACGCAATGAGGACCCCAAACAAGATCATGCTTGCAGGACCAGTGCAGGTCGAACTTCGAACCTGCAGGTATGAAGGTTTAATGCACCGTGGAAAGCGAACTACATCTGTTGTAGAGTGTGCTTATCAGAGTGGGTCAACTTCTGTACGATTTGGTGCTCACCAGTTTTGAATATTTCAACTTTAACATTCTTCAATTAGCCCTCCATGCTAGCGACAGAAACGCGACAGCAACATACTCGACAACCTCGACATCATAACTTCCTCCAAACCTCTCCACTGCGCCCCGCACAGCTTCGCGCCCCGCAGCAGGCAACGTGATTAGGTTCATCAAGCGCTACCCTTGCCCTGAGATGATAAGGATGCCTCGTTGCCTCACCATTGTCCAGGACTAGATATCCTGTGGGTCCTTCTACACACACAGCATCGGTGTAGCGCCTTCCACTGACTAGGGATGGGTGCAACAGATATCAGTTGTCCGCATGTCTCCACCACGAGGTGCCACGTGAGGCCCACAGCCCACCTGGCGCCAACAAGAAGACTCGGAGCGACAGACTAAGAGGAGTAGCATGAAGTCAAAAATTATTTTCGCACGCCCCCCATCGACTCTACTCCATTCACCATCTCCAAACGTATTTTCTCATTCATCGGGAAGCTCGCAACAAACGATCAAACCTCGCTGTTTTTCATTGTAGTAAGCTTGTCGTGGCAAGCGTTCAGGAGGATTGGTCCACTAATATCGGTCTGATCTTCAAATTGCTCGTCTTTGAATTGGTTGCCTCTATTTCGACTGACACGATGAGTATGTCGGCTGGCATGAGAGATCGGGGTGAACAGGTTACACGCTGCTTTCTCTCGCCAGCCAGACATGCGCAGCGTGTTGGTTCCCCATGAGGTTTATTCATATATTTTCCCTATAGGCATGTCATAGACTCGGAGATGATAGCAGACTCTACCATAGCATGGTGAATCGTTAGAACTGATTTGGACACTTGAGGATACCGACAGCAAATCTCAATACATCATGTATATTTAAGTTAGTATAAGAGGAACAGAGAGCAACTGTACTACACTTACTAGAAGTTCGCATTTTGAAAGTTGTGCACCCCACATCGCCCTTCCTTGAATGGTGAATACAAAAATCATAGCGTTGGTATACATCTAAATTCTTTGAACATTCTAATCCTCTTCTATACCCTCCTCTTCTTCTGCAATAAGTCTCTCTGCTTCAAGTGCAGCCATACATCCACTCCCCGCACTAGTAATAGCTTGTCTGTACCTCTTATCCTGGACATCACCAGCAGCGAACACGCCCCTGACACTTGTCTGCGTCGTTCCAGGGACAGTAATGATATAGCCATCGGGGTCTGTTTGCAGCTGCGAACGCACGAGCGCCGTAGCTGGCTCATGTCCGATCGCATAGAACAGTCCGCGCACAGGGAGATCGCGTTCTTGGCCTGTCGTTACATTCTTGATACGGAGATTGTTGAGTAGGTCGCCGTCGCCTTGACATTCAGTTGCTACGGTGTTCCAGAGGATGGTCTGTGCAAACGTGTGAATTGTAGCAAGTGGTGGGTATGAGGATAGAGGGAGCGTACGATCTTGGGATTGTTCATGAGACGTTTGGCCATAATTTTAGATGCACGGAGTTCGCTACGGCGGACGAGGACGTAGACGTGAGAGCCGTACTTTGTCAAATCTGTTAGTGTGTGGTTATCGGTCTGTCTTTGGTAGGAGAGTTGAGATGAGAGATCTTACAGGTGGCTTCTTCTGCTGCAGAGTCACCACCACCGATGACAGCCAGTGGTTGATTCCTAAATATGGGGACGGCACCAGTCACAGACCGCACATGCGCTGATACCGCTTTGCCAGTATGTGACCTCGCCCTTGAGTCCTAGCCTCTTAGCGCTCGCACCAGTGGCAATTATGATCGTGTCTGCAGTTTCTGGTTCCTCGTGTTCCTGGCTCTCTCGCCAGTAGCGGAAAGGGCGCGCAGAGAGATCGATCTTAGAAACGGTCTCTGTGATGATCTGGGTGCCAAAGCGAATAGACTGTTCGCGGAATTTGTCCATGAGCTCAGGGCCCAGGATGCCGGAGGGAAAGCCAGGGTAGTTCTCGACTGCGGTGAGAAAAGATATATAGTGAAGACACGGGTGGAATAAAGCGTGTACGTACCATCTGTCGTGGTTGTAAGCTGGCCACCGGCAGCGAAACCGTTTGCCATGAAGCCCTCGAAGAGGACAGGATTGAGGTTTGCACGTGCAAGATAAACGGAGGCGGTGTGACCAGCAGGACCTGAGCCTATGATGACCTGCGCATAGGTGAGTGCTGGGGAATGATGGAACCAAAATGAATGATACGAACGACTTTTGAATGCATCTTTGTGCTCTTTGGGACATTAGCGTTTGCGAGCGGGGCCATTTTTGAGTACGAGCGATCTGGAAGGGATGTAGATGCGGCTGCGAGAGGAATTGCCCGTAGGCCCTTCAGAAAGTGAAATCGAGAAGACAGCGTGTTCAAGTTGTTAAGTAGACGTCGCTCGATTACATATGCATCAGATAATCTGATCTCCGACCGGAGCCCGATGGTAGCAACTACTTGTTTCAACAGCTCTGCGTTTCAGAACTCACACCTGTGCCAATTTTTCTTGATACACCGCCCGCATCGTCATGGGAGACGATAATCTATCTGTGCACGAAGCTCGACGGACTCCCACTATGCCATCGAAGCTAAAGGAACGAATGTCGTATTTGGTCTGCCTGTGACATACTATGTACATGAGACTAAAGTGTTGCTACCGTGACAGATCCTCTCGACACATTCTTCCTCGCGCTCAGGAACATTCTACTACCCTTCTGGAGGATACCCTTTCGTATCTTTCTTTGTGCTCATATGGAGCCTTTTCTTTCTCTATCAACTACCTTATCACAGACGCGCTACTTTTCCTTTTGCATTCCAGGCCCTTCGCTCTCTGTTTGTTCGTTCAGGTGTTTTATGGCCTCATGCTGGTCATGGTGTCATCGGCCATCTGGTTTTTATGAATCATGGCCATTCTTTTTGTTCAGACAGATACTCTCTTTATTGGCCACCTGGGCTTCGATACGCTTCTTCGAGGCCACTCCGAACTGTCTCGCATACATCATAATCTCGTCAGACAGTTCACGCTGACGGACATGCTACTAGTAGAACTAACTTCGACAGGCCATACATGCCCAATGCACTAATCTGTGATCATGGTCAGTTCTTGGTTGTGATTTTTCGTTCTTCGTGCATCGTACTCAGATGATAATCCAGGGCATTCATGAATATGTCGAATTCGCCTATCATCAGCTCTCTGGGCTCGAACACACCACTTCCACTTTCCTTGGTCCATAGAACAGCCCCATTCCGTCACAAGCCATGTCAGCTTCCATAGATCGTGCGCACTTCTTCCTTTGGTATGTGTGCTCGAACAGCTAATAGACAGTAGCGTGGGGTTCTGATCTATTGGCTGTCGGGCTCAGATTCGGACACGCTGCTCTACCTGTGCGAGCAGATAACGACCTGTTGAAGTGAAGTGTATACTTTCAAATGCTCATCTCTTCGCACCAGGGCGATTGTGATTAAGACCAATGAGTTCGTCGTCTGTACACATGCATCTCGTTCGGTGCTTTGCTTTAACAGTTGTGCTACTCGGGAGGATGGAAACAGATTGTTGCAAGGGTCCTGATACACATTTGACGCATGATTTTCAGTTTGATGGGTGGCTACACTGATCAAAGAATGTATACCCAGGTCCTAAAATTTCATGATTGGCGCCTTGATACTTTCTCAGGTGTGATGGGTGCCTTGCAACTCGAAAACCCGATTCTCTTCTCTACTCCGCACTCATCATGCCTGAGGCCTGATGCATGATGTTCTTGCCACATGCTTTTGTGATATACTCGTATCGTCAGATTCTTTCTTAATATTGATCACAATTGATATCGTTGCACTGATTCGTAAGGACTCGTAAGGCATCAAACTTCTCACACGAAATTTGTAAACTTAATCCGAGTTTTACGGGCTTTAGCGAACTTCAGTGAGTTTCCAAAACTAACTCTTGAATCCCACTAACAATTAAACGCTTACTACTTTCAAGGAAGAAACTCGTGTGCAATCTTCAGAACTGTAATCCATGTCAAGGAGCGTTGGGCTGTGGCTGCTAACAATGCTCTCTGCATTCTATAGTGACATCCATCTTTAAGCTCACACTCACTAGCCCGCTTACTTGGGAGGTTCAAATGGTCCCACTTTTAATTCAGACGCAGGAAGTTCGGCCTCTGTGTATAATCCTTGCTGACGAAAAACAACCGTGAATATGCCGAACGCTTCGGAGAATTGTGTTGACTCGTAACCACTCCTAACTTATGAGGTAAGAAGTACTGTGCACAATCATCTGTGCCTGCACAAAGCCGTTCGACTTCGTAGCCCATGCTGCCAGCCACAGAAACGGCTATAAATGATCAGCCAATAGATCCCACTTCGAATCAAAGCATGATCATGAACATATCTACTATCCCTGTACCTTCTCTATCGAGTCTCTGGATAGCCCTACCTTCGGTTGGCCCATTCAATGTCGCTTGTTCATTTGCTGCATTGTGGGCTTTTGTTAAATTCCTAAGGGCACTTCGCTGGCGATTGAGGACGACTCAACTGTCGGGTCCGCCTCGCACCAGCTTCGTATACGGCGTTTCGCATGACCTCGCCTCATCTCACGATAGTGCTGCAATATATGAACATTGGGCAACGGAATATGGGATCACCTATATGATTCCGGGAGTACTCGGGCGGACTAGAGTCGTGTTGTGTGACCCAAGAGCTATAGCACATTTCTACGCCCGAGACTCATGGACATATGTGCACACACCCCTCGATTTGGTGCTTCTGGAGACATCAGTATGTTAACGTCGTGATCTTACCTCGTCCCTCTCATATCTCTTGTCAGATCGGTAGAGGCCTGCTGTGGCATCAGGGCGAAGATCACAGGAGGTGCTGTTCAGCTCTCATCCTTGCGCAAGCTGCTTACCTACTACCTGCGAATTAGGCAGCGGAAGGCCCTCACGCCAGCATTTAGCAATGCAGCTATTCGGAAACTCACATCGGTTTTTTATGATTCAGCTTACAAGGTAAGGATTTGCAAGGTGGGAAATGTAGAGTCTCTGAACTCGGTACCTTACAGGTCAAAGGAAAATGGGATACTGTCATAGAATCGAGCAAGGATGGCGAAGCTGTCATCGAGGTCCAGAACTGGTGCGTAGCTTTGCTGACTTGGCAAGTGGCATCCCTAATCGAAACGACTCAAAGGATGAATCATATATCGTACGCAAAAGATGTTTTGGCGTTGACGCATTTAACTAACGCAACATTAGTCTCGACACGGTTGGCATTGCGGGTTTCTCCCATGATTTTGGCTCGCTCGATGGAAAGCGTGCCAACGTGACCGAAGTGTTTGATGCTTTCGGAAGCAACCAACAGGATTCGGCAGTAAACCAAGTTTTTATGCTGCTCGCATCAGTATTTCCTATCATTCTCAAGATTCCCACCAAGCGGCAGAATCTGTTCAAAAAACTCGAAGCAAACATGGGACAAATATCTAACGAGTTATTGATTCGTAGCCGCCGAGAGAAGGATGTGAATATGAACGAGGGAGGCCAGGAGAATTCTGTCATCGGATTGTTGAGTACGCGCTCCGAGAGATTCCTCGTAGTCTTGATTAACGCGGCGATCAGTTAAATCCGAAGGTCAGGGAACCCAACTTCGTACGTCGGCGGAGGAAGTAATGGCTCAGGTTTGTGGAGACAATGCATCACAGCCACGATTTACGAGCTCACACCCCACAGATGAAGGTTTTGCTTCTGGCAGGTTATGAGACGACATCCAGTGAGTCAGTTTCTTGTCCGCTGCTATCACGCTGGCTGACTCTCCGTCGACAGTCAGTCTTACGGTAAGTTTACTGCACGATTGCTTCCAGACATGCTATTCATATAATGACCAGTGGGCGCTGATTGAGCTATCGCAACACCCTGACGTCCAAACCAGGCTCAGAGAAGAATTGCTTGCGTTCGGCCCTGATCCGACATATGACCAATTAAAGGCCAACCTTCCATACTTGGATGCGGTTGTCCATGAAACTCTACGAGTTCATCCTCCATTGCAAGAATTCACTCGTCGGGTAAGTGTGCATGTCTACATGTGAACAGACACAACAACTTTAGGTCTACAGGCAACGGCAGATGACGTTATTCCTTTGAGCGAACCTGTGCGCACATTGTCCGGGACAATGACGGACAGTATATCTATAGCGAAGGGAACATTGATCGCGATACCAGCCGCGGCGATCAATCGCTCTTCGGCCATCTGGGGGCCTGACGCGAAAGAATTCAAGCCTGACCGTTGGCTGACTGAAGAAGGCATTGGTGGGAAGGCGAAGGAAGTTCAAGGTCATAGGCATCTGCTGACATTCATCGATGGCCCGAGGACGTGTCTTGGAAAAGATTTTGCGATCATGGAATTTAAGGTGAGTGATGTGAATCGGCCAGTTTGGACTTTACTCACGGCGATACAGACGGTTTTATCGGTCCTGGTGAAGAGTTTCACATTTGAGATGCGGGATGGACTGGACACTCCAGTTGAAACTGCAATGGGAGTTTTACCTCGTCCACGGGTTGTTGGAGAAGATGGTATTGGAGTACCTTTGAGAGTTCGTCGATACGAATGATTGGTCGCGCTGCACCAGATTTTACTGTAGATTTTTCTTCAACTTATTCGCGACTAACCGTGGATTGTATTCAGATCGGAAGGAGTGTGGGTAATTGTTGTCATGATATGTACACTATATAGCTTTGTACATGCTATCCTTGCTATCCTTTTTGCTGCCAAGCGGAACATTGTCAGCCTGATCACGTGCGAGATAAAGGCGGGCCGCATCACATCCGTGACAGAGCCTTCAATGAATCAATATCATTGCCTCGACTCAAACTACCATGGCGGCAGTAGCACGGTCAGATTCTTCCCTTCCATTATAATTTTTGGGTATAATAAATATTCTCTAGGACACTCAGCACCTGCATATTTTGCAAGATCATCAAGGGTGTGTTGATTCCTTCTCGTCATTGAACTACGCCACCTTATCACGGCGCTACTGTGTTCTAGGCGAGATCCCAAGCTTCAAGCTCATCGAGACAGAAACTTCGTTTGTCCTTTCTTCCATCAAATAATTAACAAACGTTTATCAAGAGATCAGTTACTCATTCCTTGATATTGGCCCCCTCTCGAAGGGCCATGCTCTGATCATCCCTAAAGGTGCGTCAGCCGTGACCACGGAAGGGGCAAAAACGATGATATGCGAGATAAAGCGCTCATACGTGCATAATAGACCACGCAGCAAAGCTCCACGAGCTCCCAGACGAATACCTTACGGATGTGATGCCCATCGCAAAGAAGATCGCTACTGCACAAGGGCTCGAGAACTACAACATCCTCCAGGTGCGTTCCCACATACAATTATCGTCCTCCCCTCCCCGTTCCCTGCTGTTCAACCTGCAGAGCTGACCCCACCACAAAGAATAACGGCCGCATCGCACACCAGGTTCGTCTGTGCATTCCTCATCGGGCCTAGTTAGTATTGACTGCTGGTTTGCGCACCTAGGTCGTAGACCACGTACACTTCCACGTCATTCCAAAACCTGATGCGTCAGATAAGGAGGGGCTAGTTATCGGATGGCCCGCGAAGTCTGACGTCGTGGACGAAGTGAAGAAGTATCACCAGGAACTCCTTGGAAAGCTGTAAGCGTTGGGGTACCCGAATTGGCAATAAACGATGAAACTGGAAGAAAATAAATAACTCAACTTACAATTAGATTGTGTTCTCTGAGTCTCCGAGTCTTCTCCGCTGTCTCTACAGGCTGAGTGGTTATTACATCCACCTCGTTTTTCCCGTTGGTCGGTTGGCCCGATGGTAGCAATAACTTGGCTTGATTCAATTAAATCGCTTAAGTTGGGCAACGAATAGTCATCGGTTTCTAGGTCGGGCCTCATCTCGAGTAAGACATCGAAAACGCCGTTGTCCCTAGTAATGTTTCGGCCACGCGGACAAAGCCCCGAACTACAACAGTAGAACTCGGTAAATACAATGGTCTGCCCCAAAGTCTCAAGCAATCATACATCCAGCTCGCTGCTCGAACTCGGCATCAAAATCAACTTTTCAATGCACTTTCCTCTCTCGCACTGCTTACATTCATTTCTTGCCTGGAATTTGTCATAACGGTCATCAGAGTATCTTGCACCCGATGCATACATGAAACGCGCTCTTTCTATTCATCGTTGTCAATTATGTGTAACAATGTTTTAACTCACCCTCTCCTGGTTTCATCTAATATGGAAGTCGGTTATGTCCTCCCACGGGGATCAAAAGGCCATTTACTTCCGTGAACTCACTGATCCTGCAAGGTCCTGCGCAGTCGCATAGACCCCTAGTCACTACAGCTGGTGTTTATGGATAGACCAAGCTTCTTCGTCATTGCCCTCTGTTCCCTGCGGGTCGAACGCTGATGGAGGTGACGTTTTGAGCGAAAGCGCCAGATGAGTAGGAACGGATTCGGGAGGCGTAGAACAAACTATGGAATGTGGGAGTCCCGTAGAACAGAGAGGTAAGACATGCCGGCTTTGGCGGGTTTCAGTATAACTTACCAAATATACGTGAACCGGGACACCGATGCATCTTGCCTCGCCTTGTCTCCTTGCCTTACGTATATGTTTAGCAATTTGCGCAGCCCGCTGAATGAGGGACATACCGTGACGGAGATGAGCTTCGTCCGTGCAGAGCATGCTAGTCCATTTCGAGGCTGAGCTTGCAATACCCATCTCCGTGATATATTTGTCTGTCCCGCGTCTTGTTATCCTCTTCGGTCTTCTAAAACTGTCCAGCGTTATGGTGCTCAAGCGCTCATCCTTGGCCAGACCCTGGCCTATAGGTTCCACAAATCGCACTCTTACTAGGACCAGCCACTGCATAGATTTGACGTTGGTAATGAATTCTTGAATGTTTTACTGATAGCCTTGTGCATAAATGACGCCTGGGTAGCAAACTTTAGCGAAGCCAGATATCGAAAGCTCAGAGGACCATCACCGTCAAGGTAATGTGGTACGGTGGTAGTCTGCTGCCTCTGGTAGACGATCGGTACACTGCTCTCTGACAGTCCTGTATCAAATAATATGACCGTCTTCATGTAGTTTCGGAATGCAAGTACATGCAACTGGTGGATCAAATAACTTGAAGAGGCCGTGGTAGTACGCACTCATTTCCTCACCTCGGCTAATTTCCCCTGAAAAAAAACTCGGGTGATGTTCATCTCCGGATACAGTGCCCTACAGAAATCAAGGTAACGTGTGCGGTGATCACTTTTTGAACTGCACCGCAGAGGAGATCCGGAACTTGACTTGTTGAACTCGGCTTTGAGAGAGCTTAGCACTAGTAACAGTGTTGAAGGAGTGAAGTAGTGAAGTTATATTCTGGAATCTTCTGGATGAATGACGAACGAGAATGATTCACCGGGAAGGAGGGAGTGTTGCATAAGCTCAGGCTGGAGCTGACTAGTGCTCATCAAGCGAAGCGCTGACTGTCTAGGCAAATCTCGGCGCAGTTCAAGTACCGCAATTTGGCATTCCGACTCCGACTCGGCACTTATGTAAACTCGTAAGCAAATCGTAAGCCTCGCCTATGTTCCTCACATTCAAATTGACTCATACCGAGTCGACTCGCACATTTCACTCAGATCTAGATCTTACTGTGCTGACATCATATATATGCTGACATGTGGAGTCCATCGCGGTATAAAGTTAGTACGGAGGTGACTGTCTCTGGTTAGAATTCCTCCCTCGTGATATTAAGCTAGTCTATACAAAATCACCACAAATTCACGTCTCCCAAGTGTGTATACTGCGCATATTTGTATATAACATTCAACTGATACACATCATTCATTGTCAAGGTCACTCTACATTTACACCAGTCCCGCAGAATGACTCGGAACAATGTAGATGCCCTAACATGTCTGGCATTTTCGCCCGACGGCCAGAAAATTGCTAGTTGTACTACTTCTTCGGGAGTGGCCATTACCGACATATCCTCGAAGAGCAAGCAGCAGCTAGACATGCTTGCAGATGCCCATACGCACGTCACTGCTGTAGCATGGTCTTCTGACGGAGAAAGAATTATAAGCGCATTACCAGACAACACGATACGTTGCTGGGATGTTATCTCAACACGCCCTGTAGGATTACCATTTAGAGGGCACAAGGACCTGGTCCTCGCCGCAGCATTTCTTCCTAACTCATCTCACGCAATAAGCTTGTCGAGGGATGGAGAGTTGCTTGTATGGGATACAGGAAGCGGGGCAGTCATTCAACAAGTGACAGTGTCAAATGCTGCTCAAACCATTTTCGTGGCGGCTCTATCTGTCGATACTAGTCTCCTTGTTACTAGCGATACAAAGGAGGCCGTTGCTTGGCAGATACCAACGTGTGCCCAAATAGCAGAGATCCCGCTTCCAGATATACCATTGCTTCAAGCTGCTATTATTCCGAATGATTGTCCTCGAGTAGTCCTTGCATTTGGCGACAGGTCTTTCTGGGTATGGGACGTGAATACAGGGAAGCACGACGATGCGCGCTTCGAAGGCCTTGATGAAAATGACATCCCCTTTGCTATGGCGGCTTCTCCAGACGGCAAGCTTTTGGCGCTGGAAATTGACGGCGACGGCGATCGCCCCACACATTTCTATGATATAAAGGGTCACGAATTAACTACCTCCGATATCAAATGTATCCATCCATTTGCATTTTCATCGGATGGCAAGTTTTTTGCAGCCTCGAGCGTGCCATCGGATTCGAAAGATGTTTTTTGTAATCTAATTGTCCGTTCAGTAGAAGAGGCAAGAAAACTTACACCACAGGTTCAATCCTGACCACTAACTAATTCAAGCAAACTAGATTCTTGGCAGTGGTAGCCCCCTTGATGTAAGATCTAGGTTTATACTTAACAGAGCAGTGAGCTCATGGTATGCAACAGTTTCCTGCAACAATTACCTCGAAAGGCAAAGGAAAACAACGTTCGCTGGGATTAAACCCGGCATTCTTCGATCAACCGCCGCCTCCTTCAGGCAGTGCAAAGGGTCGCCCTGTAAGACGTCTCAGATTCAAAATAAAGTATATACTAAAACTGATTTATTAGATTCGACTTGGATCTGGACCCTCATCGACTCACCAGCAGGCTTCCCCAAGGACCACCAGTCGGAAACGGCGTATCCTACCTCTTCCAAAAATATGGAAACGGATCCGTCATCCTCGATCTCCCAAGGCGAAGTCCAATGAAAGGGAAGCTCAGCAGACGTCGTCAAGATATGTCAGCGGGGAACGGCGCGGAAACGTTTGGACGCGCATTCGCCACCCCCGATCCCACAAGACAACGTCGACTCCACACGTTGTCGAGGTAGCAACCGGACAAGCTAAAATGGTACGTTCAGCATACTTTGTTCCAAATAATACATCTCAGGAAATTCCTAGAGGACTGTAGTTTCACGTCCACGTCGGACGACCACGGCTCAGTCTTCTAGTGGCGCCAGGGCAAACTCCCGTTCGAAGTCGGTGTCGACTAAGGAAGGCTCAGCTCAGGCGTCTACTAGTGACATTAGGCATGATTACAAAGGAGCCACGACCTCACCTTTGCGTTACGAAGCCACATCTCGAAACGAATCGGCGCAGTCATCTAGGCAAGCCGGTCGACCAGGACGTACACAAGACCAGATCGTTAGAGAGGACCGGCGGGGGAGCGTTGATTCAGGTATTGTCTATACGGAACGTGATACCGAGAGCGTCAGAGCACACGGATGTTGGAATATTTTCTGGGATTGGTTATGTTACAAAGGTGAGTCTCTTCACATTCTGGAGTGAACGTAGTCAATTCATGCATTGCATCAGCGTTCTGATATTGCTCGTCTCCTGTTTAACTATGTTCTATGTATAGCATGCTCTATGTTAATATGTAAACTTGATCTCCTGAAATCGAGCTTCTGCTCACCTGTCCGTTCGACGACCAGATTTTTTCGATGCCAGCTTTGTTGACCCTGCAGATGCATCCTCTGCAATGTTTAGGACAAGTACATCGTCCATTTCCCCCTGCAGCGCTGGTGTCAGTCTTGTATAGATTCCAGTACTTAGTCTTGAATCAAACAAAAAGTTTAGAAGAGTCTTCCCCAAAAGCGGAAGCGTGAAGTCTGAGACAAGGAGCCGAAACACTGAAGTGGACGTTTTATAATTGAGTACGCCTCCTGTCAACATATGACAGGTGTCAGTGCGATAAGCTATAATTACTCATGACAACCAGCCTCAAACGCTCAAGAACGCTCGGTGATCGGTGAGTCGTGATGCATTGATGAATGACCACTCCAAAATTGAAATTATTGTGAAGGTGACATGCACGAATCTCAGGCCTAGGGTAATGGGACTTGTATCCTACAATTTCTAACTCAGTTAGCGCACGAAGGCAAAATGCAGAATAGGGTGTATTTCACAAGGTAATGTCAAACCCACTGAAGACGGCGCGCAAGGGAAAGTGAAATGATTTTATACGACTCGTCCGATTGAGCTGACAGCGCCATGGGGTGAGGATGATCTGGGATGGATGAATAAGAAAACAATAGAAGGCATTGCTTTGCTTGGATGACTTCGCTCGTGAATAAATTTTCCTGCACGCGTGTGATCGCGTCGTCCGTAGAAAACCTAGTCAGCATGATACATCTGAGCGTCATTAATATCGTGGTCGGAAGCTACAAGTGCGGGGCTAAGCTAGTCCATGACACTGCTTTGTATGCGTCAGGAGGAAGATTGCGTAAAGTGGTGAACATAAGTACCAAGAGGACGGCACGAGCTATGATGTACAATAGGGACGTTCAAAGTTGAGCGCCCACGCCCACCGCCCACGCCCACCGCCCACGCCCACGACCCCCCTCGCCCATATCCCACTACCCATTTTGTACTTGAACGAATGTATTATATAATCAATGATAACTTAACACTGTCCGAAACCACATTACACTCAATGGCACGTCTCCGAACATCACGCGAGCAATACCTTCACTCATATCTCTTGCTTATGGTTCTTCGTACTTTGTGTCAGCCAGATATGACACTCGAAGAGGCAGCAGTACAGCAGCATTGTGACTTATCTTGCATTCTTGCTATTCAACAAACTCGTTATCTACAAGAGCGCTCCCCTGTTGCAAAAGCCAGCACCCTGCACATTGCTTGGGAATACGCAAAATCTCCATCTGATCATAATCACTTTATTCACATGCTCCGTGTTTCTCCAATGACGTTTCAAGTCCTGCTCGATCTAATTGAAGGTCATCCGGTTTTTTCCAATAATTCCAACAATGCACAGGCACCTGTTCAGACTCAGCTTGCTGTCACTCTCTATCGAATGGGTAGATATGGCAATGGTGCCTCGGTACTGGACATTGCTCGCCTTGCAGGAATTTCTGAGGGTGCAGTAGAGTTGTTCACGCAACGATGCTTCTGTGCAATTCAATCTCTGCATGACACTTTTGTATGCTTACCAACTGCTGAAGAAAAGGAGGTTGAGAAATCATGGATAGATGACCAGCTCAAATTCCAAGGAACTTGGAGGGAAGGTTGGGTGATGTATGACGGAACAATTGTTGTTCTGCATACTAAGCCAGGCCTCAATGGAGATGCGTATTACACACGAAAGTCAAACTATGGACTGAATCTACAGGTACTATATCACACAGTTTTTTTAAATAATATTGAAGTGCTTTGACAGGTTGGAAATTTGCCGTCCAATCTTCGTATTGTGGACTATGCGCATGGCCTGACTGGTTCTGCCCATGATGCCTCTGCCTTTGAGCATACTGCAGCTTCAAAACATGCAGATTGGTTTTTTAAAGGCAATGAGTTTGCCTGGGTAGACTCTGCATATCCAGTCAGTAGTCATACCATTCCAGTCCACAAGCGTCCTGCTTCTCTCATCCCCGAGAATGCTCTATTTGATAGTGCAGTAGCCCATCTCCGAGTACGTTCTGAGCATTGCATGGGAGCTCTGAAAGGGCGCTGGCAATGCTTGCGGGGGCTTCGGGTGACCATTACATCAAAGCGCCATCATCGGGCAGCATGCGACTGGATTACGGTGGCCATTATCCTGCATAACCTTGTGATAGATGTTGAAGGAGGAGTACAAGGGGCACACTTTGCTGGGATCCACACTCACACTGATGAACAAGAAGATAGAGGATTGCCTGATATCCTTCCAGGTCAAGTGATTGGGAATAATGGAGAACTGAAGCGACAACAGCTTGTAGAAGAGTTGATGGCATTTCGACAAATGTAACAGAAGTATTTGTTGAACTACTATTAACAAGTATATATAATAGAAAGGTGTTAAGGAGTGACTAGAAGTTAACCATAAGGCAAAAAAAATTATCAAGAGGCGAAGGCAGAAATTATACCGAGACTCGTCAAAGAAATACCCTAATCCCAATCTGGCCAATCTGGAGAGTAACGAGCACACTTCACAGGCTCAGCCTTGTCATGCATCAATTCACGGAGCTTTTCACGATACTCGTCAACATTCCAAATACCAGCCTCGAACTCTTTGAGCAGCAATTGGCGTTCTTGAAGCTGCCTCTCTGCTGTAGCACGAGCATTAATAGCATCTAAACTGGCCCTTATATATATGAGTAAGGTTAATTGAAATATAAATAAATAAAATGTACTTCTGCATGTCAATGAGTGTCTCGTCAAGGGTACGCTTCTTCGGCACCTTGGAGATCTGTTGTCTCGCTTTGGTGAGACTGTCTTGTAACATTGACGAAGATTTCGGGGCTCGCTTAGTTGTTGGGGTAGGGGTTGACTGCAAAGATGGGGGAGGATCATTCTCCTTGTCATCGACATCATAAAGAGGTTGAGAATAGTCAGAAGGATCTACAATAGTATCGAAAGGAGACTCAAAAGATGGGGAGATTCCACGGTGTGCAGCCTCGTTCTGAAGGGCTGTGTGGAGGCTCTGGATCTGCGAAAATTCTCCGATGCAAGTTCTGGCCCTTCGTCATCACTTGGAGGCTGGTAGTGCACAGTCTTCCTGCCATGCGGGCCGATACCAGTGGTGATGGCTATTGGAGTGACATTCAGACGAGAGGATAAGATTCGATGAAGAACAGGAAAGAATTTGAATTGCTCAACAATCTCATCTGTGTCATGTTAGAATTATTCTGGCGGAAAATAAGTAACATACCCCAAATACACTGTGCTTTCGGAGTTGTGGTTGTGTTGGGTCCATCAGCAGGGACATAGCATTCGAAAAATTCATTGTCGGAGACATTGCCATTCGCATCAGATTGGACCCCTTCACCAGTTGTTCGGAGACGTCGAGCATGCACCTTGTATTTTTTTGTTAAGCTGAGCAGAATTGTAAGCTGAAAAATAGTGAGAAAAGCACAGCACTCACTACTCATACTTTCGTTTGACTCGGTCCCCCATTGTGACAGCATTCTGGCTGTGCAATTGCGGGAAAACGGCAGCCGCCATGTGCTGATACACTGTCACTTTGCTATCACCTGACGTGTTCTGACACAGAAACATCATATCTCGTATCATATATGACAACTTTGACTCTGTTCTCCGATAGTTCAATCTGCGCCAATAGCTGCCAGACCAAGTCATCAGTCCAGACAATCTCCGGGATTGTGACGCCGTTATCCTTCTTCTTCGCCATATGTGCAGATCTGATTGATGGTGAGTGAAGGTAACAAACCATAAATTTTCAGAATTACTTGTATTATCTAATTATGCAAACTACATTTAGGTGACGACGCGTGGGCGGTGGGCGTGGGCGCCCAACTTTGAACGTCCCTAATAGGGACACTCAAAGTTTGGGGCGCACATTTCG